TTAGTAATAATGAGAGTAGTACTCTAATATCTATGTTCTGAGTAAAGATAATAGAGTTCTGCACAAGCTTACTTGATCCATAGATATTAGAGTAAATAAATGAAAGGGATAGGAAACTTCCGTTGCGTGGGCGGATTATTTCATTAAGATTATTAGGTTGCCTAGCAACATAGGCAAGTTACCCTTCCCGGGCCTTTTCCTTCACTGTTCGGCGTCCTATTTCAACTCATAACTCTAAAGTGACTTGTGTTCATCCTCTGCAATGATAATTAAAGGCATTACAGATACCTCCCTTACATTCTGTCTAATTTTTGAAGTAAAATAGTATTGATAACTATGGGTAAAGTTTGATTTAGTGACCTGATACCTTCAATATTGTGGTTTTGTACCCTTTTTTAGAATACAAAAGAAGTAATACCAGAATTAACTATTACCAACTATTCTATACATTATTATGGAGGGCACGCAACATAAATGACTCCGATGACAGATTTGGTGACTGATTTATAATCGATTCAAAGTTTTTGCAAAGACCTTCGTTTTGTACCTTTTTCTTTACAGTTCAATGATTGGCACATTAAAATGTGATATGAAAGCAAAGCTCGATGTACACTTGAGGGCACGCACATACTTTAATGTATGTGACATAAACACAATTTGAGAAAAACCATTATGAAGTTGTAGTATTCCATAATGTTTGGTAATTTTCTTAATAAATCCTATTGTAAAATTGAAAAAATTCCTATAAATAGAGAAATTATCCTGGTATGGGTAACTAGCATTTCCTGCCGCGAACGGAAGTTTCCAATCCCTTTCATTTACTCTAATATCTATGCTTGATCACACCCCCTAATTACTCCACCCATCTCATAATTGCCCCCAAAAATTAAATCCTAGATTCACCCCTGGTGTGTAACTTAAGTCAGGTATTGTAACATCAACAAGAGAGCAACAACTTGAAAACATGTCCTTGGCCAAGGACAGGGCTGCTGAGAGCTTTGAAGGGGCCCAGGGAAGGAAATTGTGGCGCGCGAAGCGCGCCGAAAAATTTTGCAGGCTTAATTATATTCATAGTGGATGTGGTCAAATTAATTAATTTTTACCTGCACGCATGATAACATGCACTTTGTCTATTGAATTTTAACTAGCTAGGAAGATTGATTTTGATGATATCATGAGTTTTTTGCTTAGCAAAAGGCCAGAAGGGCCCATCTTCTGTAATAATTTTGTTTAATTAAGTTCTTAAAAAAATTTCTTGGGGCCCTTAAAATTGTGGGGCCCAGGGCATTTGCCCCTTTTGCCCCCCCCTCTCAGTGGCCCTGGCCAAGGATTATTCTATAAGGATGAAAAGAAGGAACAGCTATACCACAGCCCTAAGTACTATAGGAAAGAGCATCAGGGTCCAACAAGAAACCAAAATGGCAGCACACTTCTTTGGATTAGTTTGAATGCGTCCATGCAACTAACATGTATGTATACGTATCAGAAAAAATTATAAAAATAAAGAATTCTCTTTTAGTCATTTTTGGGCTAGCCTTTGGTTGTTGGCCCAATTTTTGAGCAACTTTAAAAATTCATAAAAAATCCAAATTTGATTTGATTTAGCTCAAAGTTGATGCACAACATAGGAACATGTATGCATCAGGAAAAAATTAAAAATAAAGAATTCTCTTCCAGCCATTTAGCTGACCTCTTTAATTGAATCTTTTTGGAGAGAGGGTCTTTTCATATTAGCCTAGAAATTCTGGTCTACAAAACAAAAAACTGCAGAGCACACTGAAAATTTCTTTACAGC